CTAGTGTACCTGTTAGGCAACTTTCTGGCTTCTTACTGGGTACCCTTCGTTGCCTTCGGTCTCTTCCTTGACTTTTCTGCCCTGGTTTTTTCCTATTCACTCTTCCCAAATCGTCTACGCTATCCTCTCTCTATTCTTGCTGGACACGCACCTCGCATCGGCATCCCGCCGTTCGTCCAACCATCATTCGACTACACCCAACTCTCCACAAAGGGGCCCGCTAGAGTCGTTGCGTCCGTTCGTTACCTAATTTTTCTTCCAGTTTCTTGATGTTCTCGAGAAGCTAAACCTCCATAATCTCTTCCCCCCCCCACTAAGTCCTACGTTTGACCGTCCATTCCGACCCGCTCCTCGTCCTGTTCCTGTCCTCACCATCCCACGACCTGTGCTTAGGTCGTTACGCTCGTTATTGTTCGATATCTGGCTTTCTTGGGCATTTTACTTACCGTTGTGGATCGGGATCTCTGGAAAGAAAAAAAAAGAAAAAAGAAATAGGGTAAATCCTGCGAGCCTACCGTGTGAAGACTAGGGTTAAATTAGACGCTATCGAATCGTTGTGTATCAGTCTAGCGGCCGCTTCGAATGGACCAGTGAGTCGCCAAACGACAAGCCCGATCTGCGCCAATACATTCACTTCCCGCCGCCAAATCCTCAGCTGATAACCGAAACGGAAAAGGCTGTAGAGTCGTCAGTGTTGTAAATTGGGAAGATAAAAAGAAGCCGGTTTTCAGGAACGTGAGACAGCTATTGCGAGCCGTTGTACCCACGTTGTGACTGGGTTCGTAGTTGTAATACAATACAAGGCTACCTTGGCTCGTCCCGACACCATCGTGAGTACGCCCGCACGATACACAGGCACAGGGACATAAGGAAATTCAGAGGGTAGTATAACCCGCTAGTCCGCTGAGTCTCCATTATGGCTCCAGTAGCGCCGCGCCTCAAGATCCTCTCAGGTTCGTCGATTTCCAATTCTGTAACCTACATCCCCAACTTGACCTCACATTACCTGGTGAAGAATATTTCTGTTTTTCTTGGTACCACTGTCACCGGAAGAAGCGGAAAACCTCCCGCCCCTTTGCTTTCGTTTGTGTCTTGTTCCTTCAATTGTCTATTACGCTCGTTCTCCCTCCCACACTACTTCGAGGGCAAGGCGCGCTGGCATACGCCTAGAGCCGCTTGCGACATCTCGCCATGGCTGACAGTGAGCTAATGAGAATATGTTCAGTGGGTGGAAATGCTGTCTCTGCTTTCCTATCCTGGAGGCTTCAGGCTACCAATGCGTGCGACGTAACGCTCGTTTGGAAGTCAGGCTACGAGAGCGTCAGCCAATATGGTATCTCTTTCAAGTCTGGGTCATTTGGTAACGAGCGGTTCAAACCTCGACGTGGTAAGTATAATCGCATTATTCTCTGGAAGCTGGCTGCCCGGCTAACGTACCTGTTTAGTTGTCCGAACACCGGAGGAGGCCATACATAATAAAGAGGGCGCATTCGACTATGTTATCCTTTGTATCAAGGCCCTCCCGGATGTTTACGACCTCGCCTCGGTAATTGACGCCGTCGTCACTCCTCAGCATACCTGTATTCTTGTCAATACAACACACACCCTCGGAGTCGAAGCTGCTCTTGAGGAGAGGTTCCCAACAAATGTCGTCTTGTCGCTCGTTTCGAATGCCGAATTGACCCAGTTGGGATCAAGCGAATTTGAGCATAGTGGTTCAACTGAGATCTGGGTTGGTCCAGCAAATAAGAATGGCAGCATTCCCGCAGCAATACAAGATGACATGGCACAAGCACTCGCTCTGACTTTGAGCTCAGGCCGCGTCGACTGTAAGGTTTCTAGTAACATAAGACAGCAGCAATTTGAACGAGTTATTGGGTAGGTCGCTAATATCCAGTCAAACTTGCTTACCTTTTGCTAAATGTATTAGCCCTATTGCTTTCCATCCGGCCAGCGTCATTTTCGAGACACCTTCCCATACGGCTCTTTTAGAAAAAACTGGCGTGAGGCAACTAATTTCCGATGTAATTGACGAGCTCATTGCTCTTGCTACCGCGCAAGGGTGTACGCTCGATGCTAAATTCAAGGAAAACACCATTAAGGAACAGTGTGAACTTTCGGATAACCCAAGTATAATGTGGCAGGATTATATGGCTAGGCGGCCTATGGAAGTCGAGACATTCCTCGGCTCGCCAATCAAATTGGCTCAAAGCTCAGGAGTGAAGTTACCACGGATTGAGACGCTCTACGCTATTTTCCACAACCTGAACATCGTCAACCAGTCCAGACCTAAGGAGATTAATGGACTACCAGCTGCTTCTGGTTCGCCAACCGGTGCATCACCGATGCCTCGCATGTCTTCGAGCCAACCGCTTCGTCCTGCTGTCAATGGCCCCCCGAACGGGAACGGTATGCCGATGCCCAGGTCTAGACCTAGGAACTCGTCTAATCTTAGTGGACCGCCCCCGGGGATGCGCCGACCTGCTCCGCCTATGAACGGCGGCCCTCCAAATGGACACAGACCTCCTATGAACGGCGCACCGAACGGCCATCCTCAATCACGGCAGCCGTCGAGACGTGGTTCCTTTGACGACACCGATCTTGGAGAGTTTAGCCACTTGGTTGTCTACGAGGATTCGGCTGATGCTGGTGATGGATACAATGCTGACACTTCAGATATCACTCTTCGTGAAAGGGAGCTCCAATTACGACAGCGTGAGCTGGCACTAAAGGAACAGGAAATGCGTATGCGACGCGGTGGTCCACCACCGGCTGGCGGTAGAAGGCGCGCTGCTCCTCCTGTTCGTAGTGGAGGCGGCATATACGACGATGAGGACGAGGAGGACGATTATTTTGATCCGAACTCAGGTCCCCCTGCCCCCATGATTGACCCTGACAATTTCGATATGATGAGCGTCACATCTAGGAAAAATCGCAGTAGGCCTGCTCCGAACCAAAGCGAAATGCGAATGAACCCCGAGGGTCCTGGGGGAGGAGCACCGTCCCGTGGAAGTAGATGGAGACCGGCATTTGGTAGAAATCGTTCTAGTCAAATCATGAATGCTGTGCCGGGTCTCCATGACAATATTCTTGACGATCCGCTGATGAACTTCACGTCGAACCGGTATGGTAATGTCGATCGGGGACAGATGCAGGCGGGATCCAGAGCCAACTCTTTAACGGCGACGCATTTACATGATTTTCAAAACGGATCCAACGGGATGAGCGGACCGTTTCCTAGACGTGCTAGCCAGTCTCCAGGGAACCCGTATAGCCCTTCGATTCGAGGCGGCAATGGACGCCCTTCACCTCCCAACGGGTTTGGAGGACCTGGTCCTAATGGACGCCCGTCGCCTCCAGACGGTGTGCGCCAGCCAGTCCCTAGGTATCCTCCCGGTCAAGGGAACATGGTTGCGCCACAACAAGTTGAACAACATGTCGGGGTGAGCTCTCTCCAACCACCAATTACGAAGACCACAAGAAGTCTGACCGGCAGTGCGAGTGCTAGCGCGGAGAGTGGTGAATCGACAAATCTAGGTTCTGAACAATCCGCTCACAGCAGTCAAAGTAGTCTCGGACCCCGACCTCCCATTGGAGTCCGCTGAACACCTCGAGTACGATGATACACAGCCGATCTTAGGCTAGTAGGCGGGCCTTCGTGCCTTGCTATTGTCGACACATTGCGATTTTTTTTTTCGGGTTAATTTGCACGCTTGCCCGATAGTTTTGTAGGTAGGTAAGCTGCTGTTCCCACGGCGGCATTGGGGTTGTCGAGTTCGTCTCATTCAGATCATGGCGCATTCGATAAGGTTAGATGGAATTGGCTTGGATTACAACATAACGATGCACACATAATTCTATTCGTCTCGGCAGGGGGAAAATCACGTACATAAGCATTTTTGGAAGGTCGAAGCAGTGGCTATTCATCTTCGGTAATATTGCATTGGGATGCGGGGTCTGTCACCTTTCGGAACACATATATTTCTATCCATTTTCCTCTCTACGCAATGACTTCCCAGCCTTCACTCGCCGACCCGATGCCCAGCGTCTTTACGCCTGTCACCACAACGTTTTAGCTCATTCCGGAAGTGTTGATAACCTAGAAGACACCCCTCGGAGAAAAGCTTGGAAGGTGTACGGTGGACATTGGCTGGGTAAAAAAGACATAATGGAAATGCATATAAAACTCCCGTCTGCTGTCTTCGAGCGCTCATCCGCTTGGCCTTGATATATCGTGGCTCGACTAATCTAATCCCTTTGACGACGCGCAATTAAGACCGACGACCTTAGTCGATTATCCTATATGGGCGGTCGTTCAAGTCACTGGGGAGGGATACTGGTGCAGTTCGGGTCGGGAGAAGAAGGCGTTGGTATTATGACCATACATTACACAAAGGACTTGCTCTCTCTTTTATTTGTCGGTTTCTGTCTGGATTTTAATATTGTAAAGACTGGCAAGGCGCGGGCCTGGAAATGGGACAGGCCTCGGAGTTGTCAGTGAAGATGAGAAAGAAATAGTGAAGGTCAAGAAGGTCGTGTCAAGAATTAGATAAGGGCCATCGTAATGTGATGCGACTCTTAGGAGCTAGGCTTAATCAACAAGGACCGATTATTCGCGACATTGCAAATTCGAAAAGTCGAAAAGTCAATAGCGACGTGGAGTGGACTTAATTCATAAGACCATAATTCTAATTATTCTAGTGTTAAATATAAAATCCTAGTGAATGACGTCGTCAAGCAGGCCTACTATATACATGTAGTATATACATTATACCTAAATGTTACTGTCGTACTTTTCTGTGATATGCAGCAAAACCAGGATATGTAGGGCTACAGCTCTTTTAGCTCAGGGGTCCGCTATCACCGTAACGTCGGGATCGCATGGGCATGGACCACTTTTATGAGCTCTGAAAATAGCAGCGCCACAAGACACCCCGCACAACTTTAAATCACGCGTAACCAGACGCGTTATTTGATGTGGGGGGGAAAGGGGGGGGGGGGGGCAATAGAGACAAAGTTGACTTCGTTGCAGGTGCGGTCTATTATTTGATGACAAACATATAGACTTTCTACCTACATACATATGTACCTAGGTAGATAACCTATCTTTATCAGGTACTTGACATATGTACCTTGATTCCTTAACGTGTGGTTTGTTTATAGAATCGCCTCTCTCCTAATTACCCCCACCCACTTTTCGCACGAGTTGCTATTTGATCGATGCAAGCAACGCAATATAACAAAAGACGCCAATATGACTTCTAGAGGCGGAAACGCAGATCGCACAATCGTTATGCAAGGCTCAGGGTCCGCGGCGGCGAGACCTTCCATGGCGCCGCAGAGCTCTAGCTCCGGCGGCGTGGTTAAGACGCGGCAATTGGTATGTTATATCGTGATCGTTCTGGAATAAGAGTGCTAATGTAGTGGCGGGCAGACGCATCTCCATTCGCAACTAGCGCAACTCTCGGCAAATTTGGCGGATACGGAGAATCTCCTGCGCATGACGAGCGTACAGGCGGAGGCTATGAGAGGTCTGGGTAGTTGGCACGGTGGGCTGTGAGTCTTCTTTATCTCATTTCTTCTTTTATGTTTTCGCTTCTATTTTTATAGTCAAGGTTCTCGTGAAAAACTTAGCGATGGTGTATGAAGAGGATACTGATTAACTTGGCTAATAATAGGTTCATGGCCGCGAGCAAGGTGCTAGGAGAAGAATCAGTCAAGGAGCAACAGCCCGGAGGGAATCAAAAATAGTACAGTCATCGTGTATCAGTTTAGGCTGATGGATAGTCCGACGCCTTATAGGTCTGCACTTCCTGGGTTTGCATATGCGAGTTACTTCTACAAGTAATGGCTATGTCGCCCTTCGTCGTACCTAGAGATGGAACCTAGGGGCTTACATATAAAGGCTTTCCGTAGCTAGTCTTGGGGGTCTCGACGACACCCTATCCACCTGGTAAGACTGGGTTTTCAACGACGCGAGTATCAAGCTAAATGCCCAGTTGATGGGCATGCTGTTGCAGGCTCAAAAACTTCGCCGAGCAACCCAGCCCCCAGATACATACTAGTTATATCAACTACCTTAGGTATAATTTATGTACTTGATATTTATGAACACTAAGATTGCCATTAGTAATAGTTAATCCCGCCTCACCCTCGGTGTCTAACGTGCTACTATGATTACTATCACCGGTATAAGCAGAGATTGTAGAATTTACATCAAGTCCATAGGAGGTAGCTTGACAGTGATTGTCTACCTCTAGATACGCGGGCCCTAGTTTAAAGAAATGAGAAAACCAAGACGTTTAGGACTCAGCAGGAAGTTGTGTAGCAACCATAGGAATATATGCTCAAATATTTTGCCCTGCAGAGACTCTCCCTAGTGGTAATATAATATCATTATACCTCCTCCGGGTATGATTATACGTCTAATAGTTTGTGAGAGGAGGATGTATTCATTAGAATTAGATTAGAAATACCAATTCGGATTTACAATGCTGTCGGGAACGATTGCTCAGCACGGACGGTATTCTACCCGGGTCGGTGGGTTTGGCGCGTAATATCACCAACTTCATCGGCATAGTTATAAAGAAGCATGCTTGCCTACAAAATCAATGTGGCATCATTCCTCTCAAGTAGACTTACATTAATCCATTATGGCACAGACTATCGTTCTTATTTCGGGTGCGAACCGGGGTCTAGGCGAGGGCCTGGCCAAGCGTTACTTGGCACAGCCGAACCACATCGTAATCGCCGCTAACCGGAACTCGAGGCATCCGACTTCAAAAGCGCTCGCCGATCTGCCTAAGGGGGAGGGGAGCAGCTTAATAGTTGTTAAACTTGACGCCACGGTCGAGCAGGATGCTTTTGACGCTGTTAAGACTCTCCAGGAGTCGCACGGGATCGACCACCTCGATATTGTCATCGCTAACGCCGGCGTCTCGTTCGTCTGGCCGGCTGTCAAAGACGTCAAGATTGACGATCTCCGGGCGCATATCGAACCTAACGTTTATGGCGTTGTAACTCTGTACCAGGCCACGCGCCCACTGCTGCAGAAGGCTTCCCGCGAGCCCATCTTTACACCCATCGGGTCCTCAGCCGGGTTTATAGGGTGAGCTAGTCTTCTTTGCAGAAAGTAGAAATGAACATAAGACTTTGTGTGGATATTATAGTCATGGGATTCTTGGATACTAATTAACACCGGGGGCAAACAGGAAACAACCTCCCATCCCTAACGCGGCGTACGGACCATCGAAGGCAGCGCTGCACTGGTTCACCGTCCGGATCAACGCCGAGGATGACTGGCTCAACGCCTTCGTCACGGGCCCCGGCTGGGTCCAGACCGAACTCGGGAATGCGGGCGCACGCGGCCTAGGGGTTGAGCAGGCCCCGCTAGGAGTCGACGAGTCCTGCGACGGTATGATGCATATGCTCACGGTATCCACGAAAGCAGATCATGGCGGAAAGATGGTGTCGTATAACGGGGAAGTCACCTCGGAGTGGTAAAAACGGGCTATAAGAGTGGGCTATATATGTTCCCGAGTTTGAACCACGGGACTTGAGGATATACCTACCTATCTATCGCCTCTAACCTCTAGATTTATCGCTGTTATGTTGAAGCTAGGAGTACACCGATAAGGTTGAGAAGAATGTGTGTGGTTTAGATCTCGTACAGCTTCGTATTTAAGATATCCCTTCTAGAGGGTTTAGATATCTCTTTGAAACAAGAAGTTTCAGCTCAAATCTCAGACTGCGTTGTTTGCTGTGCTATGCCAATACCATTGCTCTGATATCCTTTCCGCGCAAAGCTCGATTTTTCATTGGCTGGACAGTTCCATAAATTCCATTTTGGGTAGGCCTAAAAGAGTACTACGGCAGGAGGGGGATACATATATAGAGGAAGCCCACGTCTACATATTCCATTGAGAACGTATCCGCGTATAGAACGTCTTTTTATTGGTTGGTTCTTGAATACAGAAATAATACATATGCCCGTATACATGATGGAATAGAAGTTGGTGTAACTAAGCATCGAGAATTAGCATGCGGCAGCGCTGATATAATCTAGATCGCCTTGTAGTCGGGCTCACGTTCTCCATCGTTTAACTGGAATACGCGTATAGCCGTTGCATGAAGGCTCTTACGGGTAGGTAGACGATAATAGTCTTAGAGAAGGGGTTGATTTATATAGAAGCTCCGTTGCTCTGTAAGAACATAATGTTCTCTAGATCTTGTCTTGACTGTATTGAGATGTTCATTGTACACACTTAGCCACACTTAGCAGATGCTAAATATCTAGAAAGCACTCTAGATTCAAGGAACGGTTCTCTAAAGTCCACCATGGCTTAACTCGAACCGTACGTCGGTAACTACTGCCATAGGCAGTACACCCCCTCGCTAGCGGCAGCCATCGCCATGCTTTTCACCGTTATCGCCGGCGTTCACTGCTACCGTTTATGTCAGAGAAAGCTCTGGTTCTGCTTGCCGTTCGTGATCGGAGGTATCAGTAAGTTATAAAGTAAAATTGCTCCATCCTCTACGGGTGAATATCATCTTCTCTAATAGCCGTAAAGTGGAAGTCATAGGTTACTGTGCCCGCGCGGTATCAAACTCTCGAACTGCCGACCTTACTCCTTATCTCATTCAAGAAATGCCGATCTTACTACCGCCCGCCCTCTTTTCCGCATCAGTATACGTGGTACTAGGGCGCATCATCCGAACCGTGCTCTTTATCGTCACAGCTATGACATTCCAGACCAGATATCAAAAGGGCAAAGTAGATGCTTCGGCGCACGACGCTACGGGCTGGAGGGCCAGCATGCTCATGTTGTACAGCGTCAGCGCGCTTATTATGATCCGGAATATCTTTCGAATAATCGAATTCGCTGCAGGTCGGGACGGCTAACTTCTTAGTAACAAATAGACAGTCTACGTCTTCGACTCAGTTTTGATGCTGGTGGTTATGGGTTTCTTCATTGTGCGGTACCCAGATAACCTCCAGCGTTCTGAGGCCTCCCACTGGAAAATTGGGACGGCAATCTTGCGGGGCAAAATCAAGATGAGGCCTCGTCCTCCGACGTGAGGCTCGATGGCCCGAACCATCCGATTTCTAAGTGAAAGGCGATTCTTGGCCTTAGGTCAGTATGGTACGTTTACAGCAGTCCTTCTTCCATCGGTGTTGTTGATATGATAAGTCTCCATGATTTATATATGTCAGATAGAGTATATATCGCATAAATATGTAAATATCTAACTAATATGAATTTAGACATCACTTATAAACTATAGAAATCCTCTTGGAGCTGTATAGATGCCGGGAGAACGAAGTGGGGCTCGCCGGTCACTTACCCCTGACTCGATGGGACTAATAACAGGACTACTACATTGCTCCGCCACAATCTTCACCTTATAAAATCTCTTGCTGCTGGAAACTGCATCGTGGTTATTGGTAATGGGCCAGTATTCACGGCTAACGGATTTTCGAAGTTTGAGAAATTATATAAAAAAATTATAGAGTTAAAGATGCCTCGTCGATCTCATCAAAAATCTCGTGCGGGTTGTCTCGAGTGTAAACGCCGACATATCAAGGTAACCATTTAGCCCTGATCTACATTCTAGTTCTAAACTCTAGGATACCAGTGCGATGAGAACCGGCCGGCATGCGGGAACTGCACAATTAGCTCGAGACAATGCTCGTTTTTATCTTCGCAACCGATCCTTCCCGGCCTCCGACGTCCGGCAAAGTCTACAAGCCCGGGCCTCCTCCGATCTTCATCGAATGCATCGACACTCTCTCAATCGTCTTCTCCTATTAGTTTGAGCTGTGAACCATCGATTATCCAGGATGTTAACATGACGCACATGGAACTCTTTCATCACTGTATCAATAGCAATTTCGACCTACCACCCTCGTCCGAAGACCCTGAAAAGATAGCGTCCCCAGGGATGATTGTTGAAGCTGCCATATCCTCCCCTTTTCTAATGAATGAGATGTTGGCCTTCGCCGCACTTCATCTAGCTCATCTCAAGCCTGCAAAAGCCCAGTTCTACAAACACCATGCGGTCGGTTTGCAAACCCACGCGCTTAGCATGTTCAACCGTGAGATGACGGGTGTCACTAGTGAAAACTGCCTGGAGGTGTTAGTTTTCACTTGGTTCATGACCTTACATACGCTGTGCGATACCACAGACTCGACAGACCCGCATATCTTTTTAGATCAGTTAATTCACTATCTACAGATGCAACGAGGAGTACGCGCCGTCACCGCAGAAGCATGGCATCTAATGCTCGAGTCGAAGATGGGCTTCGTGTTGCATGAGGCTACTAGGATTTTCGAGGAGGCGGGCCCAGGGTCTCATACTACTGAGCTGGAAAACTTTATCCAGCACTCACCGGCATTGGACGCCAACGAGAAGACTGTCTGCAAAGACGCCCTAGATAGGCTCCAATGGTTTCTGAGCAGAGCTGACGATGCGAAGAAAAGCGGTACCTCTCTGGGAACGCCATTCTTGTCCTTAATCTCGTGGCCGGTAATAATCGAAGCCGATTTCCTTCGACTCATATCGGAGAGGAAGCCGGAGGCTCTACTCGTCCTTGCATATTATGCTATACCGTTACACTTCTGTCGAGACGTGTGGATTATAAGAAATGCTGGTCAGTTGCTGGTTCAGAGCATCCGGTTGCACCTAGACCAAAAGTGGCATAGATGGTTAGACTGGCCGGAGGCTATGATGAATACGCTGTCATAATATGTCTATTGAAGACTTTGCAATTTAAGGGCCTTTGGCGTCATGGGCTAGATATGGTATCTTAGAGATGGGTTGGTTGTTAGGACTTAAAAGGGCTTAGGTTGAAAGGGAGGGTCAATAGCAACGTAGATTCTGTATAGGGATAGAGGACGCCTGATCTCTTGAGAGTACCTAGCTATACTAGAGGTCATCGCATCTCAAAGATTGTATATCGTTTATTCATAGTCCGGGATGAATGCACGCGCAAGGGTCGGGCTACCCATGTTCTGGAAGGCATAGATACTTCGTGCGATTCGTATTTCCACCCGAGGCTAGAGAAAGTTTCCAGTCCCTTCTGTATTTAATGCTTTGTATGTCGATAGTTAAAAAGCTGAAGGAGTTACATTGAATCGATAAAAAGCTCTACTCGATATAACCCTGGCTCAGGAGTTTAGGCAACAACAATAATAAAACACGCGATTTCACTCAATCCTACGCATCCTACCTTTGGAAGTTCCGCGTACATTAAGCAAGGAGAACTAGGGTTATGAATACTACCAAGCGCATAGCAATTGTAATACTAGGTGTTTTAGACATAAATATTTGGGGCATACAACTGAATTCAATAGGATGGTAACGTCGAAATACTACACTATCAGCAGCGAAGGATCCAAGGTTCTTTTCACATCTATTATATTCAGCTTTGTGAGCACGGCCTCGGCGACATAATGTGATGATGATCATTAAACGCTAGGATTATAGAAATTGTTTAGGTGATGGAATAGTATATTTACACCTTACTAAGTATTGGTCAATCTATACTCCATACATTGCCAACTTAAACTGGTAATGTCGACTTGATTGAGTGTTCAGCACTGCACTATGGCTTTGACAATTAGGGGACTAAGATATTCTCACAACGACGCATGTGTAAATGTTAATACTAACTTATTTTAAACTTACTATGTAATTTGAAGTGTTAGTAGTTCCATACGGCTATGATCAGTAGATTGGAACTCCTTTTGAACTTCGAAATAGTACAGCTTTAGCTACCAGACATATTTGCAATCTAGTGGCTTTTCTGGAATCCTTCCGTCGATGAGGATGATGAGTTCGCTAACGTTTAGTGGCTTAATTTGGAGTACACAGGAAAATACTCTTGCAGCTGAATAAATCATTGTATACCTGTAGGTACAGTTCAAGAAAGACCCGGCGTTTACCTTGTACGGACACTCGGGATTTGAATATATGTCAGGTTTAAATCCCTATTTTCTGAAGCCTCGGGGACCGCTGCCCCTATCTTACTTAACATGATGGCTCTTACTCTACCAAGACTAGCAATATTTACTATTAAAAAGAAGGTTGATGGAGTCCTAGATTACCCAACGAAGGAAATAGTCAAAGTCTAAAGAAGTATATCCAATGGCCCCTTACGTTTCTAGACCTAGTTAAGCTTCAGGCTTTCTGCCGTACACTACCCTTAGGGGCAAATAGGCTCCTTTCGTCTTCAACTCCTCTTCAAAGCGCGCTGGCCAGGTCTCGAAATCCTCTGCAGAAATAGACTTGAGTCCTCCTGGAATGGCTAAAATATCTTGTCAACTTCATCGTAGCCGTAATATCAAGGAATAGACTTACATTTCCCAGCTATAGTGATATTCTTGCCACCACCCACGGTACTCTCGACGCTGACACCGGCTAATTCCTGGTCTTTATGCTTAGGACCTATGCCAATAGGCAGTAGCACGCTTTTGACGTCCACAAAGCCAGCGTCTTTAACTATGCCCTCTAAGTCAGCGGCAAACCCGCTCTTCGTGCCCCTCATATCCCACAGCTCGCCCAACATATCAAGGAACTGCTTATAGGCCGGCCCTTTGTTATCATTAGTTACTTCATACTGAGGTTCCATAAGCTCAATCCAACCACCGGGCTTCACAAGCTCTCCGAGAGAGTTAATGGCCTCACGCTGCTTCGGACCCGCCTGGAATAGCACTAGAGTTTGATGCACGTAATCAAATGTTGACTTCCAAGACTTTGGCCATGGTTCGTTAATATCTTGGATCTGAAAGCTGATTCCTGACTGCGGGGGATCGGGAAAACGATCCTGAAGGTCAGTCCCAATTAGCGTAGCTGAGTTTGGGTCTTTGAGAGAAGCTTGGAACTGCGACAACCAGAACCCTATTTTGAAATGTCAGTCAAACTTTCCCGTTGAGAGCACCCAAGGAAAATATACCGTTATTTGTAGCACTGTCGAGTACTTTAAGGTTCCCGCGTGCCGTGTCGATAGGGGCAAGGAAGGCATTTCCATCCATATAGGCTCTTACCACAGCAGAAGCCTGCTCTAAGCGCTTATTCTCTGCCTCTGCTGAGGAAACGAAGTAGTCGGGCATTGTAGCTAACTTAGGAAGGGTTCGGTAAACAGGCTTGGTGAATAAAACATCTTGAAGCAATGGGAGGGTTCATATAGACTGGGGAACTAGGAGAGTATTTATAAAGTTTTGCGATTACTTACCTAGATAGATACCTTGTAAGTAAGGTGGTATTTGGGGTAGTACAACGGCACGATATTATTTATACGATGTTGGCATATATTCACACACTTTAGCGAGTCCACAACCAATAATTTGTAGACATTCCGCAGTAGTCCCTATGGCATTCGAACATAGCAAAATAATACGAACTTGATTTATAAGAATAATAAATCCTTTAGACTTTAGTGAGTTACGCAATGCATCTGCAGTACACGTAATAGCTTGTGTTCGTTGTCTCCCCCACCGGAAAGCCGTTGATTTTGTGTACGTTTTCTATACCTAACAAGGATAAGCTCCTGTTATTGATCCTACGAAAGTGCATATGTACGCGGTCCAATAGTCCGTTGCCTTTGTGCGGACTACGAGTCTCATCACAAGTCTTTCTAGTACTCAGTATTTCGTTGGTGTGATGAAACCGCATTGACCTCGATATAAAGTATAGAACCAATTTAAGAGATCCTCAGATGCTAGTTGTCGAGCATTCAGGCCATATTAACTACTCAAATTGCGTATGAAGATACTTGAGGTTTCTAATGGTTTTATAATTGGTGGTATTCATATAATAAAGAGATTTATATGACGTTGAAATATGCCTCGAAGGTAGACCTTACGCACACCGGTAACAAATTGCACAAGTAAATATAAGCTGAAAAAGCTACACACTATATCACGTACGACCATAGAATCTGGAAAACTCGGGATCCCGTCCGCTCTCCCTTAGATAAGCCGGATATCGCTGGATTAGTAGTTGGGTCGGTGACGACCAGCGAATCCCCAGTGTTGTACGTTTTGCCCCCGTTTTCTTTTTGGCCTTTTCATATTATAATCGCGTAGGCGCAGAACTATCGTTTATAACATATCTCTAAGTACATATTATTATATACAATCATAGTATACTTTTAACCTTTACTGGCCTCGTATAATGGACTTCCTTTGGTGTATCAATTTTGGGCTAGTCATCACTGCCGGCTGTTACCGCCTAACGTGCGTAGGTAGTATTAATTGGCACAACAGGTAGGCATATGAAGTTTCTCAATTTATTATTTATAATAGATGTCTTAATCAAGATTTCTCATACCTCAATAATCACCAAAGTATCTTTAGAGGACAGGGCGTTTCTTAAAGATGGCGTGTTCGTCTCCAGGGATAGTCGTAGCATAACCCCTATTTTTGAAGAGTTAGAGTCATTCTTCTTTGAGAGCTTGATGTATTTTTCTGATTAATATATACTGAAGTTATCTTATGTCGCTTCTGCCCAATCTGCAGGTATTATTAAAATGTCCTCTTCAAAATTACTTTTAAAACTAATGCACCATAGTAGATAGTGACGTAACGATGTGGAAGTGAACAAATAGGTATAAGGATCAAGGTAAGGCCATGAAGAAGTTCCATACTTGAGTTACCCAACTATTTCCAGCATTTCATGACAACAGAAAGCGTATAAAATGACCCGAATGTTCGTAGACGGAGTTGTTCCAAATATACTTGAATGAAGGATAAGTTAGCCAGCGAAGAGTACGAGGGCACCATCTACGATAGTACGACAAATGTAAACCGTGCTATGACGCGATGACTCTTATTATTTAACCTAATCTTTGTATGATATTGATAGGCTTACAAGACTTTTTAATAGGAGGGAAAGATAGCGGAGACTCAGCCGCTACGATGCAAGCCTGGACCGTATTCACGCCTGATAAAGATGCGTTTAGTTTGAGAAACTCGATTTAAGGTATCTATGGTCGTGTTAATAGCTGTAACTGCTCAATACTTACATGATGTCTGGCCAGGTTCTTCTTTATTTTGCCCTTAGACTTGTAGAGCTTCTCTATGAGTTCGGCTGTTCACCTACTGTGCCGGAAACGATGCATATTTTACCCTCCGAACCCTACTATACTTAGTAGCTAAAGGCTGTTCTAACAGAGTGGTAGATTTTCAGAATTTAGCTCTCCTAGAGCATTGCGAACAGCCCTATGCAACGTCGTTTACACCAGCACAAGGTAGCCAAGAAACAGCGGCAGGGCCGGCAGCACAAGCGACGGCAACACACTAAAAACTACCAACCGCTATTCTGGGATGATGAGAGGAAGAAGAAGATTCGTGCAGATCGAGCAGCCAAGAAGTTATCGAATGCCGAGGCCCTTAATATATGTCGCCCTATTGTTAGATTTTTACTTTTAATCATTTGCTAGGACCATACATGTATTGACCACGCCATGGTGGTGGATGCTACGCCTGTGGTTGGGGAATTCGATATGTCATCAGGGGTATTGCTAAAGATTTGAGCTGTATTGAGGCCGTGTGTAATTGGCGATCTACAAGATCTGGTGCATCTCGCCGGTAGATGGGGGATTTGGAGTAGCTGTCCATTAGGGAGTAGCTCGTCGCGATCACTAGGCATAGCGATTATGTCCGAAGCCCAAAAACGGCGTGTAGCGCCGGTGCTTGGCCCGGTACTCGCTGTCATATGTCCGGGTAAGTCCGGGATTAACTCGATTCGGTCGTCGGCGTCCGAAGCTTACGGCGAACGGATTCCGCGGGGTTAAGACCTATTTTACAAGCTGCTGAAACTCTTCATGAGGTGACGAACAAAGTTCTTCCCACGTGTAAAGCAAGGATGTACACACGATCTTGGTATTGGTCGTTGGCTGTCTCTATAGGGCTTTCATGCACGTCGTATAAAAGACCGTTCCTAGAGTTTATGCTGTTATCAGGCAGCTTAGGAGGTACGTATGTGGAGGAGGGGCTGTAGGGCGTAGCCAATAACTGGACTGGCACCAGATACGACCAGATCTAAATGTCATCTGATATGGGTATCGTGCTACTAGTACTGCAAAATCCTCTACTAAAACTGACAACTTCTAATATCCTACGCAAGCCTGAAAAGGCAATTGTTATTACGACGTAAAGGTTTAACTCCTAATGATCAACCCCCCTACTCTACATGGGTTTTCCTCCTGTCCGGAATTAAAGTACCGAGATGCATAAAAGCCGTTAAGGCCTGATATTTTACCGCGACCTTACAATAGGTGACTGTTGGTGATTAGTGACGTAAACATCAAGCAGGGCAGATCGCGAATATAAACGTCGTCACAGAACACGACCATTACATTCAAGCCAACAACGACATCAACCATCCTAGGGACAGCGCATTCTTCTTTTACAGAATTTAAACTTCAATCAAGTATTTCCAAATCTACGCCCAATACATAATAAAATGCTCCAAGTCGCTGGCAAAGAAGTAGGCCCTATTGGCTTTGGCCTCATGGGATTGACCTGGCGAGCCAACCCATGCCCCCAAGAGCAAGCCTTTGAGACAATGCGTACAGCACTCAAGAATGGATGTACGTGGCCAACCTCCAGGTCATGACGTGCTGACCGCCAGGTAGTTCTCACTATTTATTATCAGGGGCTAATACTTGCTGCGCTAGGTAACCTTTGGAATGGCGGCGAGTTCTACGGGACGCCCGACTACAATAGTTTAGTACTCCTAGAAAGGTACTTCGAAAAGTACCCTGAAGACGCCGACAAGGTGGTCATCTGCATCAAGGGTGGCGTGAACCCTACAACTCACCAGACAGACGGCTCGCCCGAGAACACGCGCCGCTCTATCAACGATAGCATAGCCCAGCTCAAGGGACGCAAGAAGATGGAACTATTCGAGTTCGCTCGCCGGGATCAGAAGGTACCGATGGAAGTCACTTTCGATGTTGTGAATAAGGAATTCGTCCAGACAGGCAAGATCGGGGGCATCTCTCTGTCAGAAGTGCGAGCCGAGACGATCCACGAAGCTGTCAAGCACGTTAAAGTCCACTCCGTAGAAGTAGAACTCTCGCTGTAAGTCACGGCCCTAGCAAGTCCAGCTGCACCAGTTGGCTATTATTTCTGCTAACCATGTAATAGGTTCTCGACCGACGTACTGGAGAATGGTGTAGCAGCCGCTTGTGCCCAGTATGGGATCCCGCTCATCGCATACTCGCCGATCGGCAGGGGTATGTTGACGGGTCAGATCAAAAAGATCGAAGACATCCCGGAGGATTCAATGCTGCGTCGCTTTCCCCGGTTTCTGCCAGGGAACTTCGAGATCAACCTGGAGCTGGTCCGCCAGGTCGAGGAGCTGGCCAAGAAGAAAGGCTGCACACCAGCCCAGCTCGCCATCAACTGGACCCTGGCGATATCGAAGCGCCCCGGGATGCCGACTATTATCCCGATTCCCGGTGCTACGACAGCGGCGCGGGTGGAGGAAAATAGCAAGCTCGTAGACATCACTGATGAGGAGATGGCCGAGATCGACGCTACCTTGTCCAAGTTCAAGACAGCTGGCGAACGCTACCCCGATACCGTTCCTACGAACACGTAAACCTATAGGGGTCTTGCCTATGGGATGCCAGCCAAAGTCATGAGAAACGCATTTCTCATGTACATATTAGTTATAGCCTAGGCGGGCATAGCATAGTTGAGTGGGAGTAGACCTTGGGTATGTATTATGATGAATAACTAAAGCATCTACGTAAGTGAATTCATTTCAAGTTCATGATTTACTAAAATTAGGTGAAGAATAAATTAGTTGAAATTGAAGTAGCTAAAACTAAATATTTGCATACAAGAATATGAGCGGTAGAAATATATCTCTTAATAAGCTAGATAGGGGTCGCTTTTTTACGCTTGTCTAGGTACGTTGACGTGTCAGAGAATACCTACATAGAGTAGTATTCAGTTGCTTCCCTAGTAAATATTATATGGGCTCATGCTGTTATTATAACAAGCTCCTCATGTCATTTAATACCGAATTAGATCCGCTGGTAACGAGGCTTGGTTCCATGGGATGATCCTTAAGAGATGGCGTCTATCGCGGATACAACTATGTCTATCTACCAAACTATTGAGATACCTGGGTCGGACACACCTGGGGTAAAAAGCCTTCAGTTACAGTATACCAATGGTCCAGTCTTAATTGGGGTTCTAAATTTTTTTTGTGCTCCAACAGAGTTGTATTCCCATTTACTCCTATCCTCACGAAGCGCCAAGATACTACATAGCACAGGTTCCGTAATTTTCTAGCCAGTTAAAATCAGTTGAGGATTGGTATAAGGTAACCCTATGAAGGAAACCTCTGTTTGAACCAATCAGGATTTTTATAATGTCATAAGGATTCAGGCGTAGTCTTTTGGCACTTCGGGAGAGAGCCCGTTGCTGCATTTTATGCAGGGGATGGGATCCAATCCGTTGTCCAATTAGAGCAATGGTATATTGCAGCAGGATCTAGGTGTAGAGTACGTTATATCGCTCTAGATAACTGTAGCAGACATAAAATATCGTTTTTGATTGTTACCTACCTAGGTACCTAGTTACTACTGTCTAACACAGCTTAGGGTCCTCTCTGGATCTATCATCCTGGCGACCTGTAGACTGCTTGATTGAGTGAGACACGTCTTGGCATATCTTAAAGAGTATAGTGTGTCCATAGGTATTTTATCTTGGCGCAAACCAATGTTGTGCAAGCCCTGCAAGCCCTGCAAGCCCTATGCCGAAGGTAGTGCTTTGTCTTTTTTTATGTCAGCATAACGACCTATCTTCTCGAAGAATCTCGAAGGGTTTACCCTTTGACTTCATATGAAGCCACACTCGAAAAAGGGTGTATAAGACGGCTAGGTCGAATTCTGTCGAAGCTTTTCCATTTCTACATGCAACACCTAATAGCATCTAATTTCAACCTAATAGCATCTAATTTCAACAATACGAATCAACCATCTCCATAGTGCGAAAGATAGAAAGAAGACAGATAATCAAGCGTATCACCAGGCAGATTGGTCCTACTCTCGCCGCTATCGAGTGTGACCAAGGGCTTTCCGCTGATAACAGTACAATAATCCACGGATATTGTTTGGTGCAATGGCGTCTCCACATCCGGCGCGGAGTATATCAAACGGATGATACCTACTGCCGTTCGGAGCACACATCGGAGGCTACTGGGGTGGAAAACGTAGTTAGCAGGTCCCATTCCTAGATACTAAATGGGCATAGCACGGGAAGCCCCCTGGCATTTAGATAACACCTCGTTATATCTAGCATCGAGTAGATCATTGATCCTATCGGATGGGGTTTCATGTGTGGTGCATATATTGCTAGTGATTACACCTTTATCAAGTAGCGCTTCGGGATGACCGCCCTCGTCGACGATAAACATACCCTTGCCTTCTTTATTGTGTAAGGACATGGTGTTTACTAAGATATAGGTAAAGTTGTAGAGGATTAGCAACCATGATGTCTGTACTAGTCTGAGAGATTGGTATAAACGAAACATCAACCCGAAGACCAGTTTTACACTTAAATCTTGACTCTGTTTGGAAGCAGTATGGCATAACTAGTCTATTAACCTTCCGTCGTTTATAATACTTACTAGTATTGTTATTCACTTCTGGGCTTGCATGAACTGTGTATCGTATACACAAAGAGTGGCGTGGAGAAAGTAACAGTTTGTGGTTACACTCTACTCCAAGGTGCGGAGAGGGACGGGCCTAGATAAATGCACGCGCGGTATGAGCGAGACTATAAATCCATCTTTAGGTTAGGAGAGCGCGCATGGACCACATGTATCATGGCAGCGCAACAATATATAAGTGCCTTCGAGGCCGACAGAATATATCGATACGTCCTGTAACTTTTATTTCTTTTCCTTAAACAGTTGCTAAGTCAAGCCGCTTATTGTATCATCCGAGATAGTATCTTTGCGAGCTATATCAGTTGTTGGCTATTACCTAAAGCGTAACTATACCTAATCTCGCTATCCTAATAGCTACCTAATCTACCCAACACCGGTCATACCTACGGTTCAATCTTACAAATTCACCATGATTTTCCTGTTCGACTCAGTTACCACTTATCCCGGAATCAACTACGTGGACTTTTCTGCCGTCGCTGCTTTTGGTATAATGGGAACCTTGTCATTGGCAACAATAATCAGCTTACTCACCTCGGCTCCCAGCGGGAACGCCCGTGAGAATGGCCCCACTGTGGGCTGATTCCCCCCCTCGAGATGAGGAGTCAGCGTCGCAATCTACATTGGTCGGATCCCGTTTTACACCGCTTTCCGTGGCATAGGGCGGCCGCCGTTCCTTGGTATTCCAACTAGTCGGGGATGTTTAAGTGAGCATTGAGTCAAAGTAGCACTTGGTTTATGGAAGACGGATTGCATATATATGCTGCATACCTAGGTATCATCAGAAGTACGAGTTTTTATACGGCCTGCCGCAGAAGCTAGAAATGGGAGGTAGAGTTGGAGGAGGTGTAATGGCTCGCTATATACTATATATGGAATACAACATCCCTTGCAGTCTTGCTCATTATCTATAAGATGGTGCTTCGTAAATCGAAACTAAGTATACGCCTTTCGTGGTATACCAATGCGCTATTTTAGTAAAATATAGGATTCCGTCCCTGCATAGAAACTAATAAGGGCTATATACTCATAAGCATCTGATAGCTCCATCTCGCGGGAGCTCTAACTAGATGTAGGTAGCGTGTATTGGTTGAAGATACTCTCACTTTCTTCTCCTCTTTAACTTATCACACCTCCCACGGCACGGTTTCTACAGTAGCACTTAGCCGCTGCGGTCTTGACTTTTAAATCATTGTGACTACTAACATACTCGTGAGTCGTATCGTCGTAGATTTTGAGGCGTTCATGGCGAGTGTAAATCTTGTGTTGAGTCTCACTTGCTCGGGACACTTAAGAGGGTTCCTAAGGATTCATCAAATGGCATTTCAGGTCTCAGACTGTTCTGCGGAGTAGTGATACGACAACAGATTTTCCGAATTGCGTTAGATTGGTTATTGAATGATAAGGTGATCGGAAAACGCTATCTACGGTGACGCCACAATACACCAGAACGGCTACTAGAGATTCTACGTATGACCCTTTACCCGCTCGCGAGACATTTGTAAACTTGTAGGTTAAGTATATCGAGCTTTCACTAGTTCCCCTTTTTCGATAGGTAGGACTCCGTTAATAATGTAGACTAGAACAACAAGGATCTTCCCCGGGAATTGGATTCGAGCACCCAGCATTTCTTCTAATCTTTCCCATGATATCGTTTTCCGTAGTAGAGGGGTTCCTTACGGGGCTCTGTTATCTTGTAGCCTAATGGTACAACATATTTGGTACCGAGGGACTACCTATCTTGAACATATTTCCGCGGGGCTTTGCTAGGTTATCCGATGGCGAATCTTTGGACGGGTAACTGCAGGTGCTGCGCTCGAAACGGCGAGTGGCTTGATGCTGGAGGGATGTGGACGTGAATGCGGTTACACAAATTAGTAGCGGCTTGGACCTATTAGCAGCCAGTAGTGACATCCACGAGCACATAAACCACGTACATACAGCTCCCATACCTAGAAACAGTTCAATCTTTCCGATCTATTAAGCCACTACCTGCAATCAGCCCAAAACGCTTATGAGTCGAGTATCCTAGACTTTATGGCATTCGCGATAGTATTTTATGAGCCAATATATTGCCTCTAAAGGTGCAAAATGAGGAGGACATGTATTGTACGGAGCTTCCTTCGCTAAGGGTCAATACTCATACTAAAGGGGTACAAAGGTAGAGAATTAATAGTATTCGTATCCCAATAGTTAGTATGCATTAAAGGTTTATCGATATTGCATCTTTTCTTTTTCTGCCCGAGGCTACGGAAGGGACGGATGTATGTTCCATCCACAGTTCTCCTTTACACGTTTGATCTCTCAACACATCTCACCCTGAGACCTCTGGCTTCCTCCCCGACATACATACAGCGAATCACCCTCATCTATTCAGTCTATTATAGTCTGGACAGAGTAGTGTCCAGTCAGCAGATATTAAATCCCTGGAACTGGAGTGTGAACTGGCTTTGTTCCTGTCAAGGAGAACACATTGTTTAATCTTCCGAGTTTAACACCCCTTTAATTTGAATATAGAATATAATGTATTCATGCCCCAGTTAATGTAATGAACTCAGTTTTCAGGCTATTTCCATTCCTATAATAATTCAGGAATGCTTAAACAGCCGTTTCTCATCATAGTTCTTTATAAAACAGCCCCCCTGCGTATCTGCTCAAACTTTAACATTGGACTTCTTTTATATAATCATTCGGAAACATCTTCAGCATTATCTTTTAAATCTATGTGTATTGAAAGCAAAACAAGAAACACTTTTCCTAAGAAATAGACATTGTGGTTTAACGCGAGCTTACCTCCTAAAGGATGGTAGGTCAATCTGTGTTCAAGGCAATGATGATAAATCTTATTTAGTAGCAACGATAATATCGTATGAATTGATCGAAAGTGATTAAAACAGAACTTCTGAGCCTTCTTCTTTTTTTTATGATGCGACGGGAGGCCAGGCATTTATACTATTTTCAGCTTGACACTTGGACCCATAGGTCAGACCTCCATTCACACCACTTGCATTGGGCCCTTGGGCCCTTGGAGGAGCTCAACTTTCGTGCAAATGAATTTAATACTTTGGGTATATTTAAGTTTAGGCAATGCAAATGCTCTTGCTATTGCGCTTAGGTAAATGCCCAACTAAATTTCCTTCCAAAAACTGAATACCTAGGTACACTTCTAATATGGCATAGGCTGGTGCTATTGCGTTACGATCGCCACACTTCGTATACTTGGTACCTAAGGTATATACGTGGTAGGTATACTGTATTTGATTGTAACCTTTTTAGTTGTTGCCTTTCTCTGTTCCGGCTACCGAAAATGGAACCCTACACCAGCTAAATTCGGATTTCATAACAGCGTATTCTCTCCTTATCATGTAGGATTCTGATACAAAAGGAACTGCGGACCACGGTGCTAACGACTGTCCCTGTATGTATTTCTAAAACCATCGGTTCTTCGCTTTAATATCTAAATACCTAATACAGTTAGAAGTTGTATTTGGAGGTGACAATAAAACCTTACCTCCTCTAGAAGCGTTCTTCTAGTATTTGAATCAGCCAGAAGGGCTCGCTTATTGTAATATGGGCTGAATTGACAGGTAGTTAATTATAGGTCCATCTTGCAGAGAGATAAAGCACGGGGTTGTGCTACTGCTCAAGAACATCCTATTGCATTATCGGCCTCTAAACTCCGATCCGTTTCCTTCTTCGAGTCTGCTTCACGAATTGGTCGCCGTTTTTGCCGGGGTGCTTGGACGGGGAAACGCTTGACTCCTTTGCAGGCGTGACACTTAACAACGAGAACGTCAGCCCATGGCTTTTTACCGCCTTTGCTTTTGTTCTCAATTGATGAGCTACTGGTCTCTCCTTCGATAAGTAGACTATCGCAGAATTTGCAGATAGTATGCTTCATAGCTGGAGAAAGACGTATTTGACTCTTTAACGAGGCAGACCGAAGGTCGGTAATAAAGCGACGTGAAAGTCCATGCTTAGATTGACTTGGGCAAAGTGTTTTCTTGTCTTGTGTTGCTACTGTGTCGTTTGTGATATCTTCAGGCTGGCTAGCTAGATATGTTGCTGCTTGATATAAATATGAGATTCGAGAATAGACTGGCCGATTTGGCACGCTTCCAGGTGCTTTGGATTTCCCCATGTCTTAGTTATCTTTATTAGAAAAAAAAACCCCTTCCTGTATGATTCAAATTATCAAAACAGCAGTTGTTGGAATGTGTTTGATGTCAGATAGGTACGTACCCGGTAGCTTATTAAAGTACATGTAGGGTGACCATGACGAGGTGCACATGAGAACCGGTGCAGGTGGCAGATTGGGGAAAGCGGAAATGGTAAAAATCCGGGGCAGCCCTACCGGTGTTTAGCCGCAAAACACCAAACACCAGTCAGCCAATAGTTGAGTGCACAGCCCCGTCATTTTCCCGCTAATACAAATTCAGCTTAGCTTCTGCAGTTGAGGTCGCGCATTCCATCAGCTCATGCATGTCGATTTTGTATTTTTCTGGACCGTCTTTCCAGCCTTTCCTGCCTTTCCTAACAACAACTTTCTTTCTCCATTCAACCTTTCAACCTTTCAACGTCGAGAGCCTCGCTGCACCGCCTTCTCGCATCTGCCATCAAAGGCATCCATCGCGTCTCGAGTTTTCACCTTTTTCATCAACTCTTAGGGCATTTTTCTTTCCTCTGAATTTTCATTTGACTTTACCTCCCTTTTTAATCTACCAAACCTTGCGACACGTATCCATCGCGATAATCTTACCATTCCATCACCATGTCGGCTGAAGAGGATCTGATCGACTACTCCGACGAGGAGCTGGCAACAAACGAGGCCACCACCGCCACCAACGGCAAGAAGACCGATGCTGCTGCTTCAGGCAATAGTGTTGACAAGAAGGGATCCTACGTCGGCATCCATGCTACCGGTTTCCGTGATTTCCTGCTGAAGCCCGAGCTTCTTCGCGCCATCGCCGATTGCGGTTTCGAACATCCATCGGAGGGTTAGTCTACATCTTACACGTTCAAGCTTTTGAAAAGTTATCCCTCCTTCAAGCGTCCGTCCATCTCGCAAGTACATCGCAAGCAAATGAAGAAAACAAAGGCGGTCGGAGAAGCGGAAGATCAGCACGCGTAAAATCACGCATAGCTATGTTTTTCGATGTCTGTGGAGCGAGGATCTATAGGAACCATCCTATCAGAGTGCCCTAAGAGCTTAAGAGACTCGTGCTTATCGCGTCAGTCTCGGTAGCTGGCGATGGGTTCACGCAACGTATCTCGCCTGGGAAATGTGTTGGGGCGATGAACCCTAGCTGCCTGATCTCGACGACAGTTGAGTAAATCTGGCCTCGAGCCGATGTATACGTCTTAGAAAGCTGGTGCTGTGATACGCGTACCCTTTTTATCTACGTATAGATGGAACAGTCGAAAAGGCCATTGGTGGTGGATCTAGATACTAGAAGATCGATGCTGCGATGATGGACGGATCTTGTCGAATTTCTACCTTCGCATCCCTAAAATCTTGGAAGTCCTATCTAACATTCGATCGATTACTATAGTCCAGCAAACCTGTATTCCCCAGGCTCTCCTCGGAGGTGATATTATCTGCCAGGCGAAGTCGGGTCTCGGTAAGACGGCTGTGTTCGTCCTCACTACCCTCCAACAGGTCGAACCTGTTGCTGGCGAGTGTTCCGTCTTGGTCATGTGCCACACCCGCGAGCTGGCCTTCCAGATTCGAAACGAGTACAACCGTTTCAGCAAGTATATGCCGGACATTAAGACCGGTGTCTTCTACGGTGGTACGCCTATTCAGAAGGATGCCGAAATCCTCAAGAATAAGGAAACCCACCCCCATATCATTGTTGGCACCCCGGGTCGTCTCAACGCCCTTGTTCGAGACAAGTACCTACGCCTGACCAGCGTTCGAATCTTCGTCCTTGATGAATGTGACAAGATGCTTGACGCTATTGGTAAGGACTCCTAACGCTTTGTTGTCAGCATTTTTATAACTAACTACGTAAGATATGCGGCGAGATGTTCAGGATATTTTCCGAGCCACTCCGCAGCAGAAGCAGGTCATGATGTTTTCCGCCACGCTTTCCGATGAAGTGAAGCCGATCTGCAAGAAGTTCATGCAGAACCCTACCGAACACTACGTAGATGAGGATACCAAATTGACTCTTCACGGCTTGCAGCAATATTACGTCAAGCTTAAGGAACAAGAGAAGAATCGTAAACTGAACGAGCTTCTCGATGAGTTGCAATTCAACCAGGTCATCATCTTCGTCAGGAGTACGATCCGTGCCACCGAACTCGACAAGTTGCTTCGCGAATGTAACTTCCCGTCTATCGCGGTACATTCGGGAGTCAGCCAGGAAGAGCGGTACGTATAGAATTATCCTCATCAATTACATGATCTAATGCCAATATAGTATCAAACGCTACAAGGAATTCAAGGAATTTAACAAGCGCATCTGTGTCGCTACTGATGTATTTGGTCGAGGCATTGATATTGAGCGTATCAACCTGGCTATCAACTATGATTTGCCTGCCGATGCTGACTCTTACCTCCACCGCGTTGGTCGTGCCGGCCGATTTGGTACCAAGGGTCTTGCAATCTCGTTCGTAAGCACTGATGCAGATCAAGAAGTGCTGAAGGCAATTGAGAAGCGATTCGAGGTCGCCCTTCCGTAAGTTGTGCGGTTCTAGCAGTCCTAGTTATTTAACTAATTTATTATATAGTGAATTCCCCAAGGACGGTATTGATGCTAGCACCTACATGGCATCTTAAGTCCACCTGCGTTCTCGATCGGTTTCCTTTATTTCCGCCCCGGGCTTGATTTTGGGTCGAGTTGGTGAAGTTGACGTGTGTACGCCCGTTAGTCTCAGAAAAGGGGATATTTCCGAAAAGTAAAGGATTCATTAGGCATCAAGGCTTTCTGTACATTATACTCTTTCAGCTTGCAACGGGCGACCAGCACACCCTCGGGGAAGAACAAGGGTCAGTAGTTAGGTGCTTTGAGCATATCGTAGCTCATGTTGGGCTCCTAATTAGCAATTTCATACACGGCCATAGTCCGTTGTCTCAGGTTTCGCAATGAATAGACTGGTATGATGAAACATCTCTACTCTTTTTTCTCTCGGATGTGATGTAAATGTAATCGCCCGCGAGAGGGGTTAATTGGAATGGTTTTCACCGTAGGGAAATTTTGGCCCCCTATAATATAGATAACCGCAGGATCATCTGGGAGACACATACCACTATAATTACCTATATTACATGTACAACATGAGCCGATAACTGCTATCCGCACTAATCCCCCTTTAAAAGGACTCACCCTCACGTAACTCAATTCTATTGGATCGTGTCACCTAAACGCGACGTCCTCCTAAGCCACTAAATGCGACAGGCAGGTTCAGGCAGGTTCAGCAGGCCTCTCATTTCTTGACCTGAGATGGGTGATATCAGTGCGTGTTCCTTTCTTTCTAATTATCTACTCTTCTTCTTCATCTATTCTTGTTATTCACCACAACAATGACCACAATTGAGATGTCAACCACCGTTACGCCATTTGAGCCAGCGGCATCTTGCGTCACAGGCGTCTACCATATATTTGCTGATCATGATTCGTGGTATGACCCCGATGACCCTCCTGCCTCCTGCCTATATTATCACCTTGGTCCATTGACAAGTCGTTCGGATTGCTTCCCTAAAGGCTGGCAATCTGGTTCGGGTGCCTTCGTGTCCACCAGTGAATGTCCAGGGGGATACTCAAAGGTATGCATGTCTATCAATGCGCCAGAGACGACTGCGATATGCTGTCCTAAGTATGCCACTTCAATACCAGCCGCTGAAGCCTAAGGAAATATATTTAAGCTAATATATATTAATGAACGTAGTAACTACGACTGCCAGGGTAAAGGGGGGATTTTTAATTGGCAGAAAACCGAGATATGCGTCTGACCTTTCAACTCCGGAGAAACATTTATATTCACAACTAGCACACCTGGGACGGGTCTCGTAACAATGACAACAAGTGAAGATCGGGGTGCGGTGAATGCGTATGGTATTGAAATTTGATGGCGGACGACGCCCGACCCTGTATCGTCTACAACCACTACAACCACTACGACTTCCAATACACCCTCGGGTGCGGTCTCTAATTCGACCTTGAGCCCAACAGTAGCCTCCACATCTCAAACTCTTTCAGCTGGGGCTGGAGCAGGAATCGGCATCGGCGCTGCAGCTGCTCAGACTACCATCCAATTCTTGTCAACTTATAAAGTATATACACATGTGAAGATACCTATGTTTTGCTATGACTGCTTAGTGCATTAGTAGCAAATATAATCTATAGTGTAGATTATCAAGAACCACACTACAATTCTGTTATACTCAAAATATCACCCCCGAGTTTACCTATATATACCTTGTTATTCCAAATGCCCAGTATCAGGTTTTTATACAATTATTTTAGCAGGTACCTACTTATTCATACAAATGCTATGGTCCCCGGGAGCAGACCTAGGAAAGCTAGTACTTCTCTTGACATTTGGTCAACCCTTTATGAGACTACTAAATGCTTATGCCTTGCTCGCTTTCGAAAAGGATGACGACAAATTCAGCGTGGGTTTTAACTTGTTACTTGCATATGGAATACTTTGCTCGGGGCGGGCCGTGAAAAACACTTGCGTAAAAGGTCAATATATAAGGATCAATAACACCAAAGACCTTCACATACGACCATAGAATCTGGAAAACTCGGGATCCCGTCCGCTCTCCCTTAGATAAGCCGGATATCGCTGGATTAGTAGTTGGGTCGGTGACGACCAGCGAATCCCCAGTGTTGTATGTATTTCTTTTTTTGCGGTTTTTTTTCTCCTATCCTTGGGTATTGAGCCCTCAGTTTTCACCTTTGCGCTTTTAGTCTTGAATTCAAGCAACATTAAAGCGAGTAGCAACGCATATAATCAATGTTTAGGAACAGCTTGATCTGGTTTAAACATAAAGGGGTATGTGCCAATCTTCAGCCGAGATTTCATTGGTCGATGATTTTCAGGGATTTTAGAGCTTTGACCATATTTGACCGCTGCTGCACCATACAGAAATGCTAAATTGAAAGCTATTATCCAGTATCAGTATCGTCACTTTTGAAGTCTGAGGGGATGTATGAGGGGAAGCAAATATATATTAGTATAAGTTATCGAAGTGTTCATGTAAAAGGTAAATTCTAGTAATCAAATAGGTACTTAGACCGAAATAAACCTCATGGAGCTAAACATCAAGATATGGCGTCTGACATAAGTATGCTGTAATTGACCCAGCGTAGTGGTGATGTAAGAGAGAGAATTACTTGCACATCAGAACCCACGTACTATCGAAAATAACTTGACAACAAGTTTATTAATTCTTTCCACACTCCTGATTTATATTTAATGTCGAGAGGTAAAGTTAAAACAATACGCGGTCGTTCAAGTCCTAATCATTTAACTAACTGGTTTGAAACTTGTTAAATACTTATTGTTTGTATACAACTATTTCCCATTAAATACTAGTACATATCCTTTAAATTCTATACAATGGCCTCAAACCCTGATATTGGTAATATTACGCGGATAGGCATCGTCGGGGCCGGTAATATGGGCACAATGATGTCTTTCGGCTTTTCCGAACACGGCCTCGACGTTTCCGTGTGGGACGTCTCAGAGAAGAATGTCGACCAGGCTCGTGAGATGGCAGAGCAGACGAAGACACTGAAGGGCAAGATCGATTATTTCAAAGATATCCACGAATTCACCAAGAGCTTGGATTCACAACCGCGGAAGATCTTCATCTTCTCTATTACGCATGGCTGGCCCGCTGACTCGGTCTTGGATAAGATAAGGGATGATCTAAAGGCCGGCGATATCATACTCGACGGCGGTAATGAGAACTATCGTAACACTGAACGACGTCAGAGGGAACTGGAGTCAAAGGGTGTCAAATGGATCGGTATGGGGGTTAGCGGCGGTTACCAGTCGGCCAGGCGCGGACCAAGTATGTCGCCAGGAGGTGACCGGGAAGCTGTCGAGTTTGTCCTTCCCCTTTTAGAGAAATTCTCCGCCAAGTCCCCGGTTGATGGCAAGCCGTGCGTTCAATATATAGGTAAGTAACACTTTGTCTGTTTATATAAGACTATCTGTCAGGGCACTTTTCAATGCTAAATTTATCACGCGTAGGCCCTCGTGGAGCCGGCCACTACGTGAAAATGGTCCATAATGGCATCGAGAACGGCATGCTTTCCGCCGTCTGCGAAGCGTGGAATATCCTTCACAGGTCCCTCGGACTCCCGTACGATGAGATAGGAAAGATTTTCGAGAAGTGGAATTCCGAGGGCGAGCTAAGGAACACCTACTTAATCCAGATCGGATCAGAGATCTGCCAGAAGAAAAAGACTCCTAAAGGTGACCAGAACGGAGAAGGAAAAGGAGAGAGCGGATACGTCTTGGATGATGTTCTCGATAAAGTCGTGCAGGACGACGATGGCTCGGAGGGTACCTTGTTCTGGACAGTTATGGATGCAGCCAGTCGACACGTCGCTGCACCTACGATTGCAACTGGCCATTTCTTTCGCGTAGCTAGTGGGAATCGGGCGCAGAGGTTGAAGGCAGTTAAGCACCTAGATATCCCGAAACCGCAACGTGTAGACATAAAAGACAAGGACAGCATCGTCGAGAATTTGCGCAGAGCAGTCTATGCGTCCTTCCTCTGCTCGTTCTGCCAGGGCCTCGAGCTTATTGCGCGGGCATCCAAGGACGAAGGCTGGGATGTCAACTTAGGCAAGTGCATACAGATCTGGAGAGCTGGTTGCATCATTCAAGAAGACTATATCGCCGATATGCTCGAACCGATCCTACTCAACGCGAAAGAGCCCATCATGAACATGAAGCTCATCGATGAGGTGGCTGCCGACTTACGAAAGAACTTCGACGCGCTGAAGCAGACTACGCTGAAGGCTATCGAATGGGACAACTATGTTCCTGCTATCAGCGCCAGTCTGGAGTATGTAAAGTATGTGGGCGGAGGAATGCTGGCAACTCAATTCATGGAGGCGGAGATGGATTTCTTTGGTGCACACGCTTACGACAGGCCGAGTGTGAGAGGAGAGGACCCTGGAAAGCCTTCAAAAGGGGCTCACCACTACGAATGGCGTCCTGCTTGAATTACTGCTACGAGGGCTCTGAATAGGTCTTTACTACCCTGATCTATGCGTTTCTGGGGAACTGGGGGTGGGTTAGATCGTGAAGATCCACCACGACCTCTGGACGCAATACCTAGCCCTAAGGAGCTAGAGATGCCTAGATTATGCATAGACATCCATTTCATATACTCGTAGTCTATGACTATGTATATTTTGTAAATTCCACTTCGTTGATGCCTTACACGGATATTTCTGTGCTTCGTAGCTCATAACCGCGTGGCCCTGAAATATGACTCAAGTCCTAGCGCCCACAGTGAAGTCCCTACACAAGGGCAAGGACTGTTAGGAATCCGTGCTGATTTGATGTCATTAGTTGGTGAGTCATCGCCGATATATGTTCAAACACCCAACCCAAAACAAGCTGCCACCTCCAACACCAACACCAACACTATCAACACTCGGCCCGAGGATCCCTCCTATGTAGTAAAATCCCTTGTCATGCCAACGGTATCGAGTCACGAATGAACAAACGTGTTTCCTTGTCCAAGGACACACCGCCTCAAGGATGTGATGTGGAATTATCTAGATCACAAGGGAAGGTAGAAGTCAGATTGTCTAACGTCTTAAAAGACTTTTCTCGGCATACGGACAACTGCTAGGCAGCAAGCTCCATTTTCATCGCCCCGGGCGGATCCATACCACTGGCCTGGGTTAGTTGGTTGTCTCCAGTCCCTAAACAACCCCGGGTTAGTAGTAGGTAGATGCTGACCACACGATCACGATGGCTTACTGGCATCATATACAAGGTTAAAGTTTTTTTTTTTCAGTCAAGAGATCTTCCCCGCAAACCTCGATAGCCTATAGATCTAGTTGATCACTTAGATAACTATGTACTTAACCTGTCTTTCGCCTCCGTAAGCGCGGCTAGCTTTGACCGCGAGCAAGCTGTAATACCCTCTTAGAACCGAGACTTTGTTATATTGTTCACGTGCTAGGAGGTACTTTTGATACCGCCTATCAGTTTACTGGTGGGGGCCGAAGTATAAGGGGGGGTTTGCGAAGCGCGTCGCGGAAGGACGGTTGACCCTTGCGGCACACTTCCCCGCATATTTTCGGCATCATGTGGTTTCGCGCGAGTGTGTCGTGTGTGTGTACATATACCTACGATTATTGTTCTGATATGCCTACATATGTGGGCGTTGTGGTCGGCCCTGGTCGTGTTGTAGTTGCCTTCACGGCCGTGCTGACTTTGTCTCGGACCTTCGGCTTCCATGGGGAGGTCAAGCCGAAAGACGCTCCGAATGAAACAAGGCTGAGGACTTCGGGGCTGAAAGTTTCGCATCTTATCGCCCTTTCTTGCTTGTCCCCTGCCTTGCCTACTGCTATCTTGGCGATCCGATATGGGGTATACTATGGATAGGATAGCCTACTCACTCATATGACGCCACTGGTGATATTTTGGGAGGCTGACCACTACCTAGTTCAGTGGATAGCCGGGCGTCCTGAACATAAGCAGAGGGCGATGATATTTGGACACTCTTCACACTGTAACTACTCGTTGACCAACGCAGGTTCACTTCACAGCCGTGTATTCCGTCGAATATGTAACAGGCTTGCTATTACTCAACTTCGTGCACGATGTTATCGTTACCCCATCGAAGTGACTGATATCATCCCACAC